TATACCAAACAACAACACTGCCCAAACACACTAACATACTGATGCTGTGAGCATACCCCACATGCTAATGACATCACTGCAATCAGTCAGTAATCTCAACTGACTCACCACACAACACCATAATAATATACATGCAAATGAAACACTTGGAAATGGCACACACTAGTCAATGATCATAAATCAAATAGCTACCCATCATGCATCACAACAACATAAAATTACACATATATGTATTATATATATCACTAGAGTAATTAATATATAATTATACAGACCTAAGGGTGTCCTCTGATCAACCCTAAATACACTGGCCTGCCGACCTTTGAAATAATATAATAACATGCGGCAACATGGCATTAATCTTGACTCTGAACGATATATATTGAATCGACAGATCAACAATCACTTATATGGGAAATAATCTCTACACTGACTGGTTTACATACTTGAGTCAGTCTACGCACAAAATATATCCATATACATCTATATATGAGGTTCAGTGTTTAACATACACCCTCACGTCACATCACAGACAGACAGTCACCTTGACGTCAGTACAGACAGCTGCCTCTCAGCTGCTTCCCTCACCTGGCAGGCGCTATGGGACAACACAGCTGTTACCGGAATTAACATCAGTCCTGAGACTCTGTATACATTACATAATAATGAGTACTCACGTTACCACTCTCTTTACATTCATTCCCCCGGTCACAACCTCATTTGCTGAAGCACGGAAGCTGGAGAACCCCCTAACTCGCTCCCACGTGCGTCGACTAGGTGTGGCCTTAGGGAGTGTGGCCAAGGCATGTGTGGCCACACCATGGCCCTAAAGGGTGGCCATGAGGAGCGCGAGGCGGTCGTGGCGCCTCGCCCTGGAGGAGGGGGCGTGCGGTGTGGCTCACAGGCGTGTGGCCATTGGTGGCCCCACGGTGTCTGGCCACGGAGCAGTGCGTCGGCACATGGGGTTACCTCGGGCTGGCTGGAGGCCTCAGGCGTACCCAACGTGTGTGGAAGATTCACTCACACGTCCACACACACCACGAGCAGGCTTGCTTGTACACCGGGTGTGATAATGGCGGGCAACACAACATGGCAAACATAGCAAGGTGGAATTTCAAAGTCCAACAGGTCCTGTAATTTCCCAAAAATTACGCTCCCAGGAACACTAGGTAGCCCAGCCCAATTCCACCACTTGCCAGTTATCATAGAGCAGATAACTCATCAGATGTTAGCAACAACATCTGATAGACCACGAGGCTTGCCAGGGGACCTCATGGGTGAATACTGTCCTCTAGTCTTACACAGTTCCTGCCTTACTTTTTGGCACAAGATTACACAAATTGGATCCAGACACGATCCACAGTGGCAGGATTACCGTGCGCGATGAGTAATAAGGATGACACAGCGAATAACGGTGTAGGAGGTGACAGACATGCCACCCCCACCCGGGGACTCATTGTCCAAACGATCGCCTGTCCTAGACTGAAGATTTGGCGGGCCAAGGAAACTCAAAATGCCTGTCTTTCCCTCCCCCCCCCCTTGTCTTGACATATCAGAACAAAGCTGGCACAGCCTATCGTGCTGCTACGAATCACAGCCTTTTGCGCCTAAACATCACCTCGAGGCTGAGGTGCCTAGACGAACCACAGACGAGACGTCTCGAGGCGTCCCGTGACGTTACAAGGCGGGGGAGGCATTGGCCTTGTCCCCGAATAAGGGGACACAGGTGAAAACTGAGTTCCCGAATGAGCCACAGAGACATTAGAAAGAATTTTTTCAGTGTCAGAGTAGTTAGTAAATGGAATGTATTAGGAAGTGATGTGGTGGAGGCTGACTGCATACACAGTTTCAAATGTAGATATGATATAGCCCAGTAGGCTCGAGAATCTGCACACCAGTTGATTGACAGTTGAGAGGCGGGACCAAAGAGACAAAGCTCAACCCCCGCAAGCACAAATAAGTGAATAGGGGAGTACTGTCTTACGGGTCACGTATATGTGTCGTGGAGACCCCGGGTCCCTCTCCAGCAGTTGCCACTTGTGGTTAACTCCGCCTCTCCTCTTGCCCAAACTCACTAACAAAAGTATATGTGTATAGAATACGTCACAATGCAACTTTTGTTTAAAGTTTCTAATAATGTAGTCTAAACATACTTATTACTGACCAGTTATAATAATTATTAACAAGCAATTAGCTACGGCAGCAAGAGGGAAGTTCTCGGAGAAATCTACACAAAAACTTTCCTGGATGGTGAGAGGAACCTGGCAACTCATTTACTGGTGTGGGCGCTGGGTGACGCACAAACCAAACATGCCACCAGTTTTTGTTTTAAAGTTCACTTGTTATACACTCCATACCCATCTTGTTGGCGGTAGTAGCAAGGGGCACATATTGGGCTTAGGGACTGAACGCTATAAAATCTATTTACATATACAAGTTGCAGTCTTGTTAAGATAGTTACAAAATATAATGAATATTGTTTTTCATCAACAATGGGTTCAAGGGTTAAACGCAATTAAGGATGATAAAGAATCACTTATAATGATTGTATCAAGTTTGGAGACACGTATAAACTAGAGTGCAAGAAATAAGGCAAATAGTTCGGTCTGAATGATGGAGCCCCAATTGTACATACTAATTCTCCACTCAAAATATAAGCCATCACCCATAGTCAAGACAACTACACTTCCAGCTGGACCCGTGGGGCAGTGTAGCGAACCATCTGTGTAATGGTTAGGCGCAGAGCATCGTGGAGAACCAGCTCCTTGACACTCCAGTTCACGGAGAACCACCACCACACTCTAGCATCACGGAGAACCACCACCATATACTCCAGCATTATGGAGAACCACCACCACTACACTCCAGCATCACGGAGAACCAGCACCACCACACTCCAGCATCACGGAGAACCAGCACCACCACACTCCAGCATCACGGAGAACCACCACCACTACACTCCAGCATCACGGAGAACCACCACCACCACACTCCAGCATCACGGTGAACCAGCACCACACTCTAGCATCACAGAGAACCACCACCATATACTCCAGCATTATGGAGAACCACCACCACACTTCAGCATCATAAGAACCATCACCACCACACTACAGCATCACAGAGAACCAGCACCACCACACTCTAGCATCACGGAGAACCAGCACCACCACACTCTAGCATCACAGAGAACCACCACCACCACACTCTAGCATCACGGAGAACCAGCACCACCACACTCTAGCATCACGGAGAACCAGCACCACCACACTCTAGCATCACAGAGAACCACCACCACCACACTCTAGCATCACGGAGAACCACCACCACCACACTCCAGCATCACAGAGAACTAGCACTACCACACTCCAGCATCGTGGAGAACCACCATCACCACACTCTAGCATCACGGAGAACCACCACCACCACACTCCAGCATCACGGAGAACCACCACCACCACACTCCAGCATCACGGAGAACCAGCACCACCACACTCCAGCATCACGGAGAACCAGCACCACCACACTACAGCATCACAGAGGACCAGCACCACCACACTCCAGCATCACAGAGAACCAGCACCACCACACTCCAGCATCACAGAGAACCACCACCACCACACTCCAGCATCACAGAGAACCAGCACCACCACACTCCAGCATCACAGAGAACCACCACCACCACACTCCAGCATCACGGAGAACCAGCACTACTACACTCTAGCATCACGGAGAACCAGCACCACCACACTCCAGCATCACGGAGAACCAACACCACCACACTCTAGCATCACAGAGAACCAGCACCACCACACTCCAGCATCACGGAGAACCAGCACCACCACACTCCAGCATCACGGAGAACCAGCACCACCACACTCTAGCATCACGGAGAACCACCACCACCACACTCCAGCATCACGGAGAACCAGCACCACTACACTCCAGCATCACGGAGAACCAGCACCACCACACTCCAGCATCACGGAGAACCAGCACCACCACACTCCAGCATCACAGAGAACCAGCACCACCACACTCCAGCATCACGGAGAACCAGCACCACCACACTCCAGCATCACGGAGAACCAGCACCACCACACTCCAGCATCACGGAGAACCAGCACCACCACACTCCAGCATCACGGAGAACCAGCACCACCACACTCCAGCATCACGGAGAACCACCACCACCACACTCCAGCATCACGGAGAACCACCACCACCACACTCCAGCATCACGGAGAACCAGCACCACCACACTCCAGCATCACGGAGAACCAGCACCACCACACTCCAGCATCACGGAGAACCAGCACCACCACACTCCAGCATCACAGAGAACCAGCACCACCACACTCCAGCATCACGGAGAACCAGCACCACCACACTCCAGCATCACGGAGAACCAGCACCACCACACTCCAGCATCACAGAGAACCAGCACCACCACACTCCAGCATCACAGAGAACCAGCACCACCACACTCCAGCATCACGGAGAACCAGCACCACCACACTCCAGCATCACGGAGAACCAGCACCACCACTCTCCAGCATCACAGAGAACCAGCACCACCACACTCCAGCATCACAGAGAACCACCACCACCACACTCCAGCATCACAGAGAACCAGCATCACTATATTACAACGACACGGAGGATCAGTGCCCTGTCCGGGAAGTTCCAGTAAGTGCGTCATCGACCTACGGCCTTGACCTCCTCTCTCTCCAACTCGGAAAGTTGTGTTGATTTATCCAAGTATTTTCCCTCTTTGCTGCTAGTCAATGATTTTTATTAACTGTTATAATACGTCAGCATTCAGTATCGTTGAGCTGTACTTCTTGTAAGATGTACATCAATTGTCGCCAAACTGTAAGTACATGTAAACTTTACTTATATCAGTAAGTATGGCCTAGAGTCGGAGTTAATCATAAGTGGCAACTGCAGGTGAGAGGACCCGGGGTGTGACCGGCACATATAAGCGCCCAGTAAGATGGTCTGGCATCAGTCTTCACACTGAGGAAGAACAGTTAAGTTCACTGTAAAGCACCGCATTATGTCCGCTCTACGCTCTCTTGTGAGTACAACTGTATTTATTCCTGTTTTATGAGATAATAACAATGGCAACGGATGTTTTGGTAATAGGCTTAAGTCGTTCATGTTGAACATATCAGTAAAACTTTATATAGTGTTGTTCATATGTAAATTACAATGTGCTGTGGGGGCTCACAATACCCTAGGTCTTCCCGGCCCATACTTACAAAGAATTGTTCTCCATCTTGAGAGCTGATGTCTCTAGAAATACAAGACAAACTTCTAAAATGTCTTCAACAACAGCGCTGCCGATAATATTTTTAGCCAGACGACAGCCACAACTCGTGTTACTAACCCTTCCTCTTCCTCAGCTGGTGGTGGTGGTGGTACTCCTGGCTCTGGTGTACGTGGCAGTGGCACTACCCTACCTTACTAACGGACATGGTGGCAGATTAGGACACGACGGAGGATACGGGATTGGACACGGCCCTCTCGGTAATCTGTAAGTATTATTATATATACATCCAAAACTTTTATGTCTTATTTAGTAATTAATATTTGACTTAAATTGTGCCATAATTTAAATGTTACTGTTGAACTAACTTTAAGAGTAATTCAACTTGGCCATCTTTACAGGGTCCATGGGCCAGCTTACCGACCATCAGATCATACTATCACCCATCACTATGGATATAGTGACATGATTAAAGACATGTGACATGGTTAAAGACTGATCTGTCTTTAACCTGACAGTGGATATTGGTGCATATTGGGTGCCGGAGGGCGAATGAATGTCCACCTTCAACTCTTCTCATATCCAACTCATTCCTTCTATTCCTCAAGATGAGGAATTGACACTGTGATTATAAATATATTTTTGTAATAAAGATTTTGTTGTTAACTTGCATTTTTACTGATCAGGTGGCGGCGGCAATTGTCCGGGGAATACTGATGTTGGAAAACTTGGATTAATTTCGAAAGCTTTTCCAAGTATGTGGAAGAAATTACAATGTTTTCAGTAAAAAATATTGGAAATGAAGCATGTAAATGAATGGGTTTTAGCTCATGGCTTAACTTCAGGTTCTCAAAACAATTCTAAAAGCTGGAACATAGGTAAAAAATTAATGTGGAAATACAGCTCATGTTTTAAAGAAATCAACATATTTTAAAGAATTCTGTAAACTCTACTTTCTTTAGCAGCACAAACAAAAGAAGTTCCTACAAAATATAAACAAGCAAACTTCACTTGTTGAAGTTTGGGAAAAGATTAAAAAAATCTCTAGAAGCAACCCAACCAAACCACTGCACTACTGTTGGAAATCCAACGCATAACATATTAATATACTAACATAGCAATATACTAATTGTTTCTATTTTTTGTGTACTTACATTTATTGTTGTGTTTTGATATAATTACTTTCTATTTATAGCAGATTTAATATTTAACTGTTCCTGTAATTGCTCGTTTTATTGTATCGTGACCCCATTGCATCTACATGCATACTGATATTGAACCCGATCGAAATCTTCTGTCTCATATCCACACTAATCAGCACATTGACCATCAGTATTGCAGGTATTACACAGCAAATCTTGCAAAAAAACAAACTCTTAAATAGCACCTGCTTATCAGTTTACAACCAAAATGTTAGATCACTTGGTAAACATTTTGATGATATAAATGCACTACTCACAGCACTAGGTAATAAATTATCTTTCATTATTTTAACAGTAACCTGGCTAAGTAATGACTATACCCAACTCTACAACTTAGCTGGTTATAAAGTCATTCACAACTGCAGGCCTAATAAAAAAGGAGGTTGCACAGCAATATATTACAAAGATACCTTCATCTGCAATAGTGTCATCAGTGATAGAGACGACTTCTGTGAATATACATACCTTTGCCAAGTTCTCCAGTAATTACCTTAAATCCTCCTTGACTATCGGTGATATCTATAGATTCCCAATATCAACATAGCTTCATTCTCCGCTAACGTAAGGAATCTTATCATAAATAACAATCTCAACAAAAATCACATAATTCTAGGAGGTGATTTCAATATTGACCTGTGTCTACAAAATAACCCTCTAGTTGACTATTTCCATAACAGCATGAACTCCTGTATGCTAATCCCCACAATCACCAAGCCCACCCGAGTCACTCAAACATCTGCCACTACCTTGGATCACCTATGAACCAATATAACAGCTCCCCTTACATCTGGTATAATCTGACAGAACAACTGACCACTATCCTACCTTCCTCATGGCAAACATGGACTTGTTGAACCGGAGCAAGTGAGATAAAGAAAGAGGGAGAACTTGCTAAGCAAGACAGTCTTTAAGAAACCTGAGCTCTTTCTTTCGATGCTCGGCGGCAAGAAGGGAAGATTCAAAGGCGCGAAAAGGCTGTTTAAAAGAAGGAAGAGCATCGAAGAAATTAAACAGAGTAAGACGCTTACGTGTGGTAACCATATGCAGGCGATGAGTCACAATAACGTAGCTAAAGTATGTTGACCAGACAACACACTAGAAGGTGAAGGGACGACGACGTTTCGGTCCGTCCTGGACCATTCTCAAGTCGATTGTGATGAGGAAGATTGACTCATTGATGAAGATTAAGCCATCCAAAAGGAGGGCACGGGCATGAATAGCCCGTAAGTGGTGGCCTTTTTGAGCCATAACCAGTATCAAGAGCTGATTCTGGAGATCTGTGGAGGTGCGAGGGCACCCTGCGTGACTGGAGATGCCTCCCGTGTGATGAGGAAGTAGATGCAGGCAATAAATAGGCTAGAGAGAGGTGAGGAGCAAAGTGTAGTAGAGGAGATAGTAGTAGGAACTGCAGAGGGCCTATTGGCCCATACGAGGCAGCTTCTGTTATAACCACCGAATGAGAATGAGATAGTAATAGGAATAAGAAGAGGATAGTAAGGGAACGTAAAGAAAACCAAAGAACAGAAAAGAGAGAAGAGAGAGAAAGAAAAGGAAAGAGAAAGAAAAGGAAAGAGAAAGAAAAGGAAAGAGAAAGAAAGATAAATGGAAGGGTAAGCTATGTTAGGTGACGTTTGTTAGAAAGATTAGAGTACTTAAGTATATGCTGTGAAAGGGAAGAGTCCACAGCAACAAAGCCAGGACTCAAGTTCATGTTGGGTACATTGTGTATTAGAGCCAATTCAACAAGACAGCGTCTATGTAGAGTAGAGGCAGGAAAGATTATTTCGGAGGAAGACCAATCAATAGGATGATTGGAATCCCTCACATGACAGAAGAGAGCATTGTTAGTGTCTGCAGACTTAACATTTCTCTTGTGTTCTTTAAGTCTGTCATTCAGTGTACGGCCAGTTTCGCCAAAGAATTGGAGAAGACAAGACGAACAGGAAATAGAGTAGACACCAGCAGCATTAGAAGTATGAGGAGCAGTGTGATCTAGATTGCTACGAAGTGTGTTAGTTTGTCGAAAGGCGAGTTTAATGTCAAGAGGACGAAAGGTATTGGTAAAAGTTTTGAGTTCAGATATGAAGGGAAGGCATAGTACAGTGCTACTAGTGTTGGAAGCAGGTTTAGGATGAAAGAAATTGCGTTTTGCTTGAGAATAGGCACAGTTGATGAAATGCAAAGGTAACCAAGGCGAGAGAATGATTTGTAGATAAGGGCAATTTCAGAATCAAGAAACTGAGGGTCGCTGAGGCATAGAGCGCGGAGGAAGAGAGAGACGAGGACACTTTTCTTAACAGAAGGAGGATGGTAGGAAAGGAAGTGAATGTACATGCCACTATGCATGGGTTTGCGGTAGACAGAGAAAGAGAACCATACACAGAGCTGTGAACGTTAACGTCAAGAAAAGGAAGGAGGGAATTAGATTCCCACTCAACTTTGAAATGGATAAAAGGAGCAAGATTGTTAAGAGAGGAGAGGAAAGGCTGGAAAAGACTAAGGTCATGAGGCCATAAATAAAAAATGTCATCAACATAGCGAAACCAGAGAGAGGGACGAGTATCAACAGCTTTCACACTGACAAAACAGGGTATATCAATATAAAACAGCTGAGAACACATTTAACATTTATCTATACTCACATATGTTTACAGTATAATACACTGTAGAACTAACATTATACTGTAGTTTATTAATATCCACCATATGTGGTATAAACTGTGTAACATTAACAGTAAATGTATATAGCTTATTTATAACCACCAATTGCGGTTGAAGCTATGTACATCTAAACACCCCCAATTATGTGTTCAGGTAAAACCTGGCAGGTTAAATCTTAAAATATAGTCCACTTAGAATTCTAATTCAATACTGAAGAAAGTACAATAAACTATGAAGATATTAAATAAAATTTAAAATAAACACAATATAACAAAATTCCATATTCAAGAATAAAAAGCACATTACTGCCTGCTAGGAATTACCCGACAACCACAGCCCGCTAGAACAAACAAACGTTCTCACTGATCAATGGCCACTAACATCAAGTCGCAACTCACTCCCAATTAACATACAAAACAAATTTAATGACGCCCCAACAGACAACTAACCATCAATCATGCTTGTACAACTGTTGACGTGTCGGATCTTAATGATGTAACTGAATGGGAATTAAATCATGCACAAAAGATGGGCAAATCAACTGCACCTGGAGAGGACAGTATTACTTATAGTTTGTTGAGATTAGTCTCACAAGTACCAGGTAATCCACTTATAGTGTTATGCAGAATGAGTTTAAGTGAAGGAGTATTGCCTGATGCTTGGACAAAGAGTGTCACTGTTCCCATCCCCAAACCACATTCAGATAATTATAGAACCATATCTCTTACATCGTGTCTTTGTAAAGTGCTTGAACGCACTGTCCTTAACCGATTTATGTATCCTATACAGGGGCACCTGTCACCCAAAACGTTTGGATTTATCTCTGGGCTCAGTACACAACACTGTTTTGCTGAATACTTCGCTCATACTGAAGCTTCGCTAAAAGCAGTCTTCATCGACCTAGCAGCAGCTTTTGATACAGTAAACAGGGAATCATACTACAATAGCTTGCTGAGCTTGGAAAACAAGGGAAATTACTAGGAAACTAGATTGTTTCCTTCAAGGAGTGCAGGACCAACCAGGCTGTGGTGGGTATGTGGGCCTGCGGGCCGTTCCAAGCAACAGCCTGGTGGACCAAACTCTCACAAGTCAAGTCTGGCCTCGGGCCGGGCTTGGGGAGTAGAAGAACTCCCAGAACCCCATAAACCAGGTATCAACCAGGTAATCAGGTACTATTTCTAATTACTAGAATATGGATAAAAGGGCTATTTGTCTCATCGAACAGCATATATTTTGTTTAATGGTGTTAAAAGCACAGACAAGAAACACTTTGAACTGGGGACTCCACAAGGAGAGGTCCTCAGGTCCTTGTTGTTCAACGCTCTAAAACATTAACTTATTAAAGATCTTCCAACTAATAATGAAGACACGGTCATCTGTTATGCTGATGATATATGTTTACAGGCTGCCTCTAAGCCTAGAATGCAAGTTCTGCTCGATGCTTTTGCTACCAGAGCTGAGGAATGTGGACTCCTTATGAGGGCACGAAAATGAAAAGTGCCTTCATTGTACTATTCCACCACACAATTATCATATAGATGGGCGTGCACTTGGGAACTGCGAGTCTTTCAGATACCTTGGTGTCCCATTAACGT